GCCTTCCAAGGCCTTAAAAATTAATCTTTAAAAAATCCGAGCCTTCTATAGGCCTTCAAAAATTAATCTGTAAAAAATCCACGATTTAAGGGCCTTGAAAAACTATTCTTTAAAAAATCCACGCCTTCTATATGCCTTGAAAAATTAATTTAAAAAAAATATCCACGATTTATGGGCCTTGAAAAAATATTCTTAAAAAAATCCACGCCTTCTATAGGCATTGACAAATTAATATTTGAAAAATGCACGCCTTCAATAATCTTTAAAAAATGTTCGATTTATGGGCCTTGAAAAGATATTCTTAAAAAATCCACGCCTTCTATAGGCATTGACAAATTAATATTTGAAAAATGCACGCCTTCAATAATCTTTAAAAAATGTTCGATTTATGGGCCTTGAAAAGATATTCTTTAAAAAATCCACGCCTTCTATAGGCCTTGAAAAATTAATCTTTAAAAAAATCCACGATTTAGGGGTCTTGAAAAAATATTCTTTAAAAAATCCACGCCTTCTATAGGCCTTGAAAAAATACTCTTTAAAAAAACCACGCCTTCTATAGGCCTTGAAAATTAATCTTTAAAAAATCCACGCCTTCTATAGGCTTTAAAAAATATATCTTTAAAAAATCGACGCCTTCTATAGGCCTTGAAAAAATAATCTTTAAAAAATTTTCGATTTATTGGCCTTGAAAAATTAATCTTTGAAAATCCACGCCTCTATAGGCCTTGAAAAATTAATCTTTAAAAAATTTTCGATTTATGGGCCTAGAAAAAATATTCTTTAAAAAATCCATGCCTTTTATATGGCTTGTCTGCTGCTTAGACAACACATATTTTAATACTCTTTAATAAACAAATGTTCGTGTGTGATAATTATTTTTTTGTTCACAAACAATAAATATCCATGTTTTTTTAATAACGAAATTTCTTCACAAAACTTCAAAAGAATTATTACCAAACATTTTACCTCTTTTTCATCATTTTATAATCCCCAAAAACAATTTTAAAGAATTTCTTTGTTGGCATCACCCCACACATGTCGGCACCCAACTTCAACATAGAACCCTGCTCCACCCCCTCTGTCTGATTACATTGTGACATGCTGTAACATATTTCGTTCTCGTTTTTCTTTTTTTGCATAGTAATGCCAATTAAAATTTTACGATGTTCACACGTGCCGGCGTAGACGCTACAAAACAATAACTGTGATCTTATCCAACGACACTCACGCTGTCATACATCAACACCCATACAGACATAGACACACATACCCACATACACATAGCCACAGTGACACTTGTGACACAGTTGTTGGTAATGTTTGAATAATAGGCTAATGCGAGCGTGTAAGAGGGGTGTGTGTGTATTGGCAAGCGTATAGATGTATTGTTGTGTATTATGTATGCATACTTTTTTGCCTGACTGTTGTGTCGTGCTTCATTTTTTAGTGATGTAAAAAAATACAAAAAAGAGACATTTGTCATGTTTTACAAGTAGCACAGGTGTTGTAGTCATTCAAATGAATTCATTTGAATACGACATGTCGTTTCAATTTCTCTTTTTTGGTGAGTATTTGTTGGTTACAGTGGAGCTGAAAATGGGGATTGGAAGTTTTATTGCCGCGAAAATATTATTCAAATTTATCAAGGCTACGACAAAACCTTTAAAATATGAAAAAAATATAAATCGAGATCGAATTATATTTGGAGAAGTGGAGAATGTACTGAAAACCCATCCATAATATAATCTACAGTTATTTGATTTGCAATAAAAAATATTTTAAAACTCACACTCTTTGTGTCCTTTAAATCAGTCCTTAGAAAAATATTCTTAAAAATCCAAACTCTTAAATTTTTTCTTGTCATTAGGCAACTTAAATAAAATCAGTTTAGAATTTAATTTTGATATTGCTCAAATTCGGCTTTGTATTTAAAAAAACAACTTTTTTTTTGGTTCCAAAAACAAAGCGTTTTTGTTTCTTCTCTTCTTTCTGTCCCAAACTAAGTCATTTGCTTATCTAAATCAATATCTTTGAATAAGTTTTTTCAATGTGGCATTCGAAAAGTAATCTTCTAAAAAGTTAAACAAAAAATGTTTGATGATTGTAATTGTGAGCCTTTTAGGCATGTATTTGTATTGTTTTTGTAAATACTGGAGACATCCTTTTTTTGGAAAATTAAATGCCGTTGGGTTTTACAAATTTTTAAATATAGAATGGTTGTTGTATTTGTATAGGCTTTGTATAGAGTCCAAAAGAATCCGGCCTTTAGGGCTGTGTTTAATAAAAAAATATGAAAACAATATTGAATCGAATATTCTATGGTTTGTGAAAAATGTTTTTTGGATCTTCAATAGAGATTGGTTTTGTTAAAGATAATTTTTTCAAGGCCATCCATAGGAGTAGATTTTTTAAAGAATATTTTTTCAAGGCCTTCCATAGACGTGGATTTTTTAAAGAATATTGTTTCAAGACCTTCCATAGGCGTGGATTTTATAAAGAATATTTTTTCAAGGCCTTCCATAGGCGTGGATTTTATAAAGAATATTTTTTCAAGGCCTTCCATAGGCGTGGATTTTATAAAGAATATTTTTTCAAGGCCTTCCATAGCCGTGGATTTTTTAAAGAATATTTTTTCAAGGCCTTCCATAGGCGCGAATTTTCTAAAGAATATTTTTTCATGGCTTCCAGATGGAGTGGATTTTTTAAAGAATATTTTTTCATGGCTTGCAGATGGCGTGGATTTTTTAAAGAATATTTTTTCAAGGCCTTCCATAGGCGTGGATTTTTTAAAGAATATTTTTTCAAGGCCTTCCATAGGCGTGGATTTTTTAAAGAATATTTTTTCAAGGCCTTCCATAGGCGTGGATTTTTTAAAGAGTATTTTTTCATGGCTTACAGATGGATTTTGGATGGATTTTCGTGGATTTTTAATTTTATAACAGGCGCGGATTTTTTAAGGAATATTTTTTCATACCCTACAAAAGACGTAGAACTTTTAAGTAATACTTTTTCATGTTCTACAGAAGGGGTGTTCTACAGAAGGGGTGTAGAAAAGGCGTAGAGTTTTAAAAGAATACTTTTTCATGTTCTACAGAAGGGGTGGATTTTTTACAGAATATTTTTTCATGGCCTATAGAAGGCGTGGATTTGTTAAAAAAATTTTCATGGGCTATAGAAGGCGAGGATTTGTTAATGAATATATTTCATGGCCTATAGAAGGCGTGGATTTTTAAGGAATACTTTTTCATGGCCTACACAAGGCGTGGACTTTTTAAAGAATATTTTTTTATGGCCTACACAAGGCGTGGACTTTTTAAAGAATATTTTTTCAATGCCTTCCATAGGTGTGGATTTTTTTAAGAATATTTTTTCGAGGCCTTCCATAGGCGTGGATTTTTTAAAGAATATTTTTTCAAGGCCTTCCATAGGCGTGGATTTTTAAGGAATACTTTTTCATGGCCTACACAAGGCGTGGACTTTTTAAAGAAAGAGGCGTGGAGTTTTATCCCCTTCGCCACACAAGGTATTATATCTTTGTGCATATGATTGTAACAGGTAAAAAGAATCGAGATAGATACAGGGTTCATTTTAAAAATATGCATAGAATCACTTTCTGAGTCTATTTATGCATGTCCGTCCGTCTGTCTGCCCATGTTAATTTGTACATGTCTCATTTAAAATCCAATTTGGATTAAGTTTGGCACAAGTCACTTATTTGGCCCAAGAACAAACCCTATTGAAAGTGGAAAAAAATCGGTTCAGATTTAGATAAAGCTCAAAAAAAAAAAAAAAAAAGTCATTGGATTTGTACGAATTTTGGCATAACGTACTGAATTAAGTCTAGAATGATGTGCGCAAAGTTTCTTGAAAAACGATTCAGATATAGCTCCCATATATATTTTCGCCCGATCTTATGTAAATGGTGCATTATATATATCTTTCGATTTGCACGAAATTTGGCATAGCGTACTAAATTAAGTTTAGAGTAAAGTGTGTTAAGTTTCGTGAAAATCGGTTCGGATTTAGATAAGCTCCCATATATATTTTCGCCCGATTTTAGGTAATTAGTGCACCAAATTCCCTATATATCCTTCTATTTGCACGAAATTAGCCATAGGGTAATGAGTTGAGTCTAGAATGATGAATAGTAAGTTTCGAGAAAATCGGTTCGGATTTAGATATAGCTCCCGATTTTATGTAAATGGTGCACCAAAGTCCATTTATATATTTCTATTTTCACGTAATTGGAATTGAGTCTGAATTCTAAATCTGTCCGAATGAAAGTAAATGAATTAAAGGTTGCAGAAAGACACTAGTAAGTTCCTTCGAGGGAACATTGACATGTAAATGTAAGGATATGTACAATATACTCAAAGTGGTGAAGGGTATTATATAGTCGGCCCAGTCCGACTTTACTACTTTCCTTACTGGTTTAAAAACCACGCCTTAGACAAGGCGTGGATTTTTAATTTAATTATGAATTTTGAAGGTCTACAGAAGGGGTGAATTTGTTAAGGAATATTTTTCCAAGGTCTTCCATAGGCATGGATTTTTTTATAGAATATTTTTAAATTTTTTTAAGTTCAATTTCAGACTTTTAAAATATTTTTGACTACTTCAAATACTTGGATTTTTATAAAAATAGTTTATAGTAAGGACATATTTTTATTTTAAAAAATATTTCTTAATGCTTGGTAGGCTCTATAGATGTAGAGGATTTAAAACCTCAATGCCTTGGTGATCTCTTTTTGCAAACAATTTTTGAAGGTTTAGGAATATTTTGAAATCGTTTCTTAATGGCTATTAAGACCTTGAAGTGTTTTTGATACATGTTTGGGACTACTAATATTTAGGTGTAAAAACATATTTAAATTACTTTTGTTATAAACGTATGTCAGGAACATTAGAGCGTATAAAATTGTTCTTTTTACAATACGTGCCTTTAATGTGTCTATATTTGTTATATCGATTATTAATTTTACAATTTATATATATTTCAGATGCTCCTGCAAGTATCCTGGGTACGACATCGTGACATACATTTGCTCACAGTTGGACGTTATACGTACACCTCCGATCAGCGATTTCGTGCCATACATCAGCCACAGACAGAAGACTGGATTTTACAAATCAAATATCCACAGCATCGAGATTCGGGCATTTATGAATGCCAGGTATCGACAACGCCGCACATGAGCCATTACATACATTTGAATGTGGTTGGTAAGTATAGCAAAGCCGAAAATTTCCATTTAATCCTTATGATGACAAAGAATATTAATTATTGAGCAAATAAATTTAATGGGAGTTGCTGTTGGCATATTTTATGTTGATAATATGCCATGAAATGTTTGTGTCATTGTTCATTAGTAACGCCTTTCCCTGAATATGTAAGGATAATGGATTCAATTTTGTTGGGGCAATACAAATAAATACACACACACACACACAGATAGATACATAGCATTATAACTTCCCAATGATAATTGAGTGAATTTATTTGAATACGAATTTCAATGGGCATAAATCTCAAGGACTAGACAAATAAATTATTATCATTATTATCCTTATGCTTTTGGCTTCTTCTTCTACTTATTTGTACTATTTGTATAATGTGCAAATCAAATATATTGAAATGGTGATGCGATTATGGCCAACATTGTCCCTTTTTCAGGGTGATAGTTAAATTGACTTGAAGTGGCCAAAAAATTCCAGCCGACTTAACATCAATGGGGTACAGCCCCGAAAATACGCAAGGCCAGGGCATAGAAATTTGGCTGAAGAAAAAAAAAACACTAAAAAATCAATAACGAATGTAATTTATATGGCCATCGAGAGAGAGAAAAAATTATACATAATTTGTTTATACAAACACATAGTTATGTGTCCTTGAATTTCACACACACAAATAGCTTTTGAGTTCGGAGTCCATTCACAACTGCATTTTTTCCATGTAATTTGGTTATTCATTTTCAGTTTATGGCTTATATCAGCAACAAAAATAAAATATTTATTAGATTTAATGTAATTGAAATCATTTAATTGAATTACACAGGCATATCGAATTGCTGAACTTGCACGAATTCCAAAAATATCTGAAATGAATAGCATCAATAAGATGGTTGTATTGTGATATGGCCTGTCGTAGCTTAGATGAGGGGTCTAAGTATATCAAAATAATTGAAATTCTTCGATATTTGCATATTACAGTTTATTTTTATTAAGCTATAATTAAATTTAATCAAATATGTAAAGATCAGGGCGTATGAGTGTTGACACAATGTATACGCCGTGCTGGACGGAGACAACTCATAGAATTTAAAGTAATTCTTAAATAATAACAATAAGGGATTTTGAAGTCATAGGAGTCGATTTTTTTAAAAAAAATATATTTTTTCAAGGCACGTAAAAGGCGTGGATTTCTTATAGAATATTTTTTTAAGGTCTCCAATAGGCGTGGATTTCTTAAAGAATATTTTTTCAAGGAATCCAATAGGCAAGGATTTCTAAAAGAATATATTTTCTAGGCCTCAGAAAAGGCGTGGATTTTTTAAAGAATATATTTTCAAGGCCTCAGAAAAGGCGTGGATTTTTTAAAGAATATTTTTTCAAACCCTCAGACAAGGCGTGGATTTTTTAAAAAACATAATTTCAAGGCCTCAGTCAAGGCGTGGATTTTTTAAAGAATATATTTTCAAGGCCTCAGAAAAGGCGTGGATTTTTTAAAGAATATATTTTCAAGGCCTCAGAAAAGGCGTGGATTTTTTAAAGAATATATTTTCAAGGCCTCAGAAAAGGCGTGGATTTTTTAAAGAACATATTTTCAAGGCCTCAGAAAAGGCGTGGATTTTTTAAAGAACATATTTTCAAGGCCTCAGAAAAGGCGTGGATTTTTTAAAGAACATATTTTCAAGGCCTCAGAAAAGGCGTGGATTTTTTAAAGAACATATTTTCAAGGCCTCAGAAAAGGCGTGGATTTTTTAAAGAACATATTTTCAAGGCCTCAGAAAAGGCGTGGATTTTTTAAAGAACATATTTTCAAGGCCTCAGAAAAGGCGTGGATTTTTTAAAGAATATATTTTCAAGGCCTCAAAAAGGGCGTAGATTTTCTAAAAAATATATTTTCAAGGCCTCAAAAAGGGCGTAGATTTTCTAAAGAATATTTTTCAAGGCCTCAAAAAGGGCGTAGATTTTCTAAAGAATATTTTTCAAGGAATCCAATAGGCAAGAATTTCTAAAAGAATTTTTTTACAATGCCTCAGAAAAGGCGTGGATTTTTTAAAGAATATTTTTTCAAGGCCTCCGACAATGTGTGGATTTTTTAAAGAATATTTTTTCAAGGCGTGGATTTTTATACCCTTCACCACACTGTAATACAGGGTATTATGTCTGTGTGCATATGTTTGTAACAGGCAAATATAATCGAGATAGACTCATGGTTTCTTTTGAGAATATGCATAGAATCACTTTCTGAGTCGATTTATGCATGTCCGTTCGTCTGTCCGTCCGTCGGCCTGTCCGTCTGTCTGTCTATGTTAAATTTTAAACAAAGTACATGTTGCGTTTTTGATTCATTTATTTGGCCCAAGGACGAACGCTATTGAAATTGGAAGAAAACGGTTCAGATTTAGATATAGCTCACATATATATTTTCGTCCGATTTAAGGTAAATCGTGCACCATAGTCCCTACATATCTTTCGATTTGCACGAAATTTGTTACATCGTACTGATTTGAGCCTAGAATGGTATATGTTAAGTTTCGTGAAAATCTGTTCAGATTTAGATATAACTCCCATATATAGTTTCGCCCGATTTTAGGTAAATGGTCTACCAAAGTCTTTCGATTTGCACGAAATTTGGTCTAGCATACTGAATTAGGTCTAGAATGATGTGTGCTAAGTTTCGTGAAAATCGGTTCAGATTTAGATATAGCTCCCATATATAGTTTCGCCCGATTTTGGGTAAATGGTCTACCAAAGTCCCTATATATCTTTCGATTTGCACGAAATTTGGTATAGCCTACTGAATTAGGCCTAGAATGATGTGTGTTAAGTTTCGGGAAAATTGGTTCAGATTTAGATATAGCTCCCATATATAGTTTCGCCCGATTTTAGGTAAATGGTGCATCAAAGTTTCGTAAAAACCGGTTCAGATTTAGATATAGCTCCCATATATAGTTTCGCCCGATTTTAGGTAAATATTCCACTTAAGTCCCTGGAAATCTTTTGATGTGCACGAAATTTGGCACAGAGTTATTAATAAGATCGAGAATGATGTCTGCCAAGTTTCGTGAAAATCGGCTCAGATTTAGATATAGCTCCCATATATATTTTCATCCGGTTTAAGGTAATTGGTTCACTAAAGACCCTATATATCTTTCGATTTGCAAGAATTTTGGAAAGGGGTATTGAATTAAGTCTAGAATGATGTTGCCAAGCTTCGTGAAAAGATCCATAGCTAGGAAGATTGACACAAGGTACTGAAGTAATATAAATTAGTCTCTGGCAAGTTTCCCTGAAATCGGTTCAGATATTGATATATAACAAAAACGCGTTTTCTGTTAGGATACATACATAGAATATACCCAAAGTGGTGAAGGGTATCATATAGTCGGCCCAGTCCGACTATACAACTCTCCTTACTGGTTTTAAATGCCTCAGGCAAGGCGTGGACTTGTAAGGAATATTTTTTAAATGGCTCAGACAAGGTGTGGACTTGTAAGGAATATTTTTTAAATGCCTCAGGCTAGGCGTGGACTTGTAAGGAATATTTTTTAAATGCCTCAGGCAAGGCGTGGACTTGTAAGGAATATTTTTTAAATGCCTCAGGCAAGGCGTGGACTTGTATGGAATATTTTTTAAATGCCTCAGGCAAGGCGTGGACTTGTAAGGAATTTTTTTTTAAATGCCTCAGGCAAGGCGTGGAAACATATTTTTAGACTTTCGAAAGATGTTTAATGTTTAAAACATATTTTTTTTGTCCAATCCAAGATAAAAGATTATTTTTATTCACGTTGTACATTGTGCCGTATAAATGATGTCAACACTCATACGCCCCAGTTGCTCATTATTTTTAATATTCTTTTGTGAAGTGTGTTTTTATTAAATTTTATTCATATATTTTGTATTTTTTTTCCATTTACAGAACCCTCAACAGAAATTATTGGTGCCCCTGATCTATATATAGAAAGTGGGTCAACTATAAATTTAACCTGCGTTATTCTTAATTCTCCTGAGCCGCCTGCCTACATATTTTGGAATCACAATAATGCGGTAAGTTTTATTAATGGCCTGCTACCCCATTCCGAACCCCTTTTGTTTCTAAATGCCTGCAATATATTAAATGGTATCGAAACGAATATTTTATGAGGAGTGGGTGTGTGTGTGTGATATGAATGAACGGGAAATTTGTATTTATGTATGCAACTGTGTAGATGTAATGGGGTATAGTGAAGTAAATAGGAAATAATTAAAAACGGAAATGATTGATTTTTAATTATGCTCAGAAAAGGCGGATAAATAATACATTTAAACGTTTGCGGAATAGTTATTTTTTCCAGTGGAGTTGTAGATTTTTCTACAAATAAAATATTTTCGAAATGTTATTCTATAAAATTTTAAACATTTTCTTCCCACTCCACCCCAATATAAATCACAGTATATGCTATGTTTTTTTTTGTACATAGTTTTTTTGTTCTTCATTCCTATACATAGTTGTATACAAAAAGCCAAAAAAAGCAACGCCTATGTCTGCATCGATAGGACTATGTCTGAGTGCTGCTGCTGGTGTGTTGTGTGTGTTTGTTCGTTTTTTTGTGGGTTATTTCACATAAAAGCCTAAACTAATCCTTTTTTTATCGGCACTGCCTGTAAATCCTTGAAAAAGTTTTTTGTTTGCAAAATTTTAATTTTTTGCCTTTTCTCTGATTTTTTTTGTGTGGATTTCAATGGCTTCATTTTTAAAGAGAAAAAAGTAGGGAGAATGCGAAAATAAATAAAAAAGAGAAGAAGGATTAAAATGTCAGTGTGTGTGTGGGTGATGGCTTTGCAATGGATTCCAGGAATTGTTGACTGACTGCCTATGTATAGCAACAATGGTTTTACTAATAAAACCAACAACAAGAGGGACATATTGATAATTTTTGTTGTTGTAATAGTTTCCGTTCCCATCAATTAAAATTTCTTTAATGACGTTCTCTTGTTTTTTACACATGATATTTCCGGATTATGGTGTTTTTAGGTAAGAGTGATATGAAGGGTATGAGGAGATTATTGATCCAGTTCATTTATTCAGAAAATAAAATTGATTGGAACCAAGTTCGGATTTAAAAAATAAGAGGGAAAAATACAGAACCCCAAATATATTCATAATTTGTCATCACCGAAATTGAGTTTTTTTTTTTTGAAAAATATTTACTTTGTGCACTGGGTCGTATGCGTTCTGTCAATACTTATACGTCACTCCATGCGCGTTGTTTTTAAGTATTTCAAATTCAAGTTTTTGATCGTTGAAATATTTTGTGTTACATAGAAAACCATATACATTTTTAGATTATATCATAAAAAATTCTAACACCTATCGTGCTAGGATAATATTTAAAAATAGCAAATAAAAATACCATGAAATTCGTTCCGGCTACATTTTGTATACCCTTCACCATGAGTTTGAGATTTAAAATACCTAAAAATGATTGGGACTTTTATAAGAAGCTAAGCCATATTAAATTGCTGCCGGGAAAACATGAAATACCAAAATACTGACTGGATTCAGGATTGAAATTTAGGCTAGGGTCTTTAACATAACGCAATTGGCTCGTAACCTTTGTATGGACGCTATGCAGGAACACGGTTTACAATCTCATGTGAAAAAAACAAAATATCCAATTCGATCCAAACATAGCACATGGTAATATCCAAACTCAAACCTTTTTATACCATTCACCACACTGTGGTACAGGGTATTATGTGTTTGTGCATATGTTTGTAACAGGGAGAAGGAAACGAGATAGACACATGGTTCCTTTTGAGAATATGCATAGAGTCACTTTCTAAGTCGATTTATGCATGTCCGTACGTCTGTCCATGATAAATTGTAAACAAAGTACAGGTCGCATTTTTGTTTCGAATTTGATGAAATTTGGCACAGCTCATTTATTTGGCCCAAGGACGAACCCTATTGAATGTGGGAAAAATCGCTTCAGATTTAGATATAGCTCCCATATATATTTTCGTCCAAATTAGGGAAAATAGTGCACCAATGTCCCTATATATCCTTCGATTTGAACAAAATTTGGCACAGCGTACTGAATTAAGTCTAGAACGATGTGTGTTAAATTTCATGAAAATCGGTTCAGAATTACATATAGTTCCCGAAATTTGGCATAACGTACTGAATTGGATCTAGCACGGTGTTTATTAAGTTTCGTGAAAATCGGTTCAGATTTAAATATAGCTCCCATATATATTTTGTCCGATTTTAGGTAAATGGTGCACCAAAGTCCCTATATATCTCTCGATTTGCACGAAACTTGGCACATCATACTGAATTAAGTCTAGAATGATGTGTGTTAAATTTCCTGAAATCGGTTCAGATTTAGCTATCGCTCCCATATATATTTTCTTCCGATTTAAGGTAAATGGTGCCCAAAAGTCCCTATATATCTCTCGATTTGCACGAAATTTGGCAAATCATACTGAATTGAGGCTAGAATGATGTGTGTTAAATTTCCTGAAAATCGGTTCAGATGTAGATATAGCTCCCACATATAGTTTCGTCCGATTTGAGGTAAATGGTGCACCAAAGTCCCTATGTGACCTTCGATTTGCACGAAATTTGGCATAACGTACTGAATTGGGCCTAGCATGGTGTGTATTAAGTTTCGTGAAAATAGGTTCAGATTTAGATATAGCTCCCATATATATTTTCGTCCGATTTAAGGTAAATGGTGCACCAAAGTCCCTATGCATCTTTCGATTTGCACGAAATGTGGCAAATCATACTGAATTGAGGCTAGAATGATGTGTGCTAAGTTTCGGAAAAATCGGTTCAGATTTAGATATAGCTCCCATATATATTTTCGTCCGATTTAAGGTAAATGGTGCACCAAAGTCCCTATATATCTCTCGATTTGCACGAAATTTGCAAATCATACTGAATCGAGGCTAGAATGATGTGTGTTAAATTTCCTGAAAATCGATTCAGATTTAAATATAGCTCCCATATATATTTTCGTCCGATTAAAGGTAAATGGTGCACCAAAGTCCCTATGTATCCTTCGATTTGCACAAAATTTGGCATAACGTACTGAATTGGACCTAGCATGGTGTGTATTAAGTTTCGTGAAAATCGGTTCAGATTTAGATATAGCTCCCATATACATTTTCCTCCGATTTATGGTAAATGGTGCACCAAAGTCCCTCTATATCTCTCGATTTGCACTAGAATGATATGTGCTAAGTTTCGTAAAAATCGGTTCAGATTTAGATATAGCTCCCATATATATTTTCGTCCGATTTAATGTAAATGGTGCACCAAAGACCCTATATATTCTTCGATTTGCACGAAATTTGGCATATCGTACTGAATTCAGTCTAGAATCATGTGTTTTAAGTTGCAAATCGAAATGATGCGAATTTTTTTTTTTTAATCGGTTCAGATTTATATATAGCCTTAAATATGCGGCGTACAGAATAGCGTGTATCAATTTTGCTATAAGTTGTTTTCCATAAATTTGTCCCATGGTACGCGGACGACTCAAAATCTGCCTGAATGAAATTAAAATTATCATAGGCTGCAGAAAGACATGACTATGTTCCTTGAATAACACATTGACATACAGTTGTAAGGATACATATGTACAATATACCCTAAAGTGGTGAAGGGTATCATATAGTCGGCCCAGTCCGACTTTACTACTTTCCTTACTGGTTATCAATGAACCAACCCTCCTTGTTATAATAAAAATAAAAACCAATTTGATTATTTTCCCTTACTTCGAATTGTAAAGGAAAATTTAATATTTCATGTATATCCGTTTTATCCATTTTCACTCGTTCCCCCTTTGCTCCTTCACTTCATTTAAGCTATGTGTTTATTTACACGCTTAAAAGCCAACATTGTTATTAAACATAAAGAACAATATTTTTTGTTGGTTGGTGGGTTATTCTTCTCCATCAAATACAACAAAAAATATTGTTCCACCAATATCCTGTGGATGCTGGGAAAAACCTTGTATATATTTTTTGCCTTGAATGTCCTTTTCGCTGTTGTCTTTGACTTTGTAAACCCCACAATACCACAGCCAACAGAAAAAAAGATTTCCAATTTTTCCCCCATTCATAGCCGTTGATGAAGAAATTCCGTATTTATTTGCCAGCTATCTCTGTTTGTGTGCGTGTGTGTGAATATATCTGTGCTTTATGTCTGTATGTGTGGGTGATTGCCTTATGGTTTTGACTTCGCCATTTTTTTATAACCATGACCATGTCTATATTTTTTTCCTCTGTTTATTTGGCTTACTGATTTCGTTATTGTTGTTGTTCTTTTACATTTTGTTTTTCTCTTCTTTTTCGTTTTCGATTCCATTTCCGCAGATTATCAACTATGATTCGCCGCGCGGTGGTGTCTCCGTTGTAACCATAAAAGGCGACACAACGACATCCTTTCTGTTGATCAAATCAGCCCGACCATCGGATTCGGGCCATTATCAATGCAATCCATCGAATGCGAAACCGAAAAGTGTTACCGTTCATGTGCTCAATGGTAAGTATGAAATGACTAACACAATATGGGTTACATTTTGTTTTTATAGCAGGACAAAAAAGGATAAGCTACGAGAATAAAACTATTTCAAGTGATGGGCCACAACCATGGATAATTTTAATTAAATTTTCTATTTACATTTTCTACTTTCTATAGAATTTCTATAGAAAAAAATTCGTGAGACCCTCTGGGTCAAGTTTTTTCTATAGAAAAAAATTCGTGAGACCCTCTGGGTCAAGTTTTTTCTATAGAAAAAAATTCGTGAGACCCTCTGGGTCAAGTTTTTTCTATAGAAAAAAATTCGTGAGACCCTCTGGGTCAAGTTTTTTCTATAGAAAAAAATTCGTGAGACCCTCTGGGTCAAGTTTTTTCTATAGAAAAAAATTCGTGAGACCCTCTGGGTCAAGTTTTTTCTATAGAAAAAAATTCGTCAAGACCCTCTGGGTCAAGTTTTTTCTATAGAAAAAAATTCGTGAGACCCTCTGGGTCAAGTTTTTTCTATAGAAAAAAATTCGTGAGACCCTCGGGGTCAAGTTTTCTCTATAGAAAAAAATTCGTGAGACCCTCGGGGTCATGTTTTTTCTATAGAAAAAAAATCGTGAGACCCTCGGGGTCAAGTTTTTTCTATAGAAAAAAAAATCGTAAGAATTCTATAGAAAAAAATGTAGTCAGACCCTCTGGGTCTAGTTTTTTTCTCTAGAAACAAATTCGTGAGAATTCTATATAAAAAATCGTCAGATCCTGGAAATAAAATCTTTATAATCTTCTTATTAAGAACATTTCACATCTTCATCTCTAAGCCTCCCAATCACGCCTCCGCATAATTTCTCTTGGCCATTTTTGGTCTTAATCTAATCGTCGTAATTTCGTTAATGCAATCAAATCCTCAAACTGTGACAATAAAACCCCAGCCAACAACCAGACCATTTAGTTGTCATCGACCGCAGTCGCCATGGGTGGATGGCTGATTCAGACGTCAATGTCGTCCATTGGCTAAAACGGAAACCGGAAAAATATTCAGCTGCTGATACTGCTGCTGCCATTACTTGAAATACCATAATTATTTGAGGATTACATTGGCGATTCTTTGTCGAGTATTCAAATCCTTTTGTTGTTGTTTCTGCTGGATTGGGTTCACGAACTTCATTTTCTGGCGACTTAGTTTCACCCGCCTCATTCTTAACCGGGCTGGAGTCAATTGAAGCGTGGTGGTTGGAGGAGGTTGTGATGTGGCTAATGGGGTTTTTATGCGGTTTTTGGATATTTCTCTTTCCGTTTCGTTTCATTTCGTTGCGGTATCGGTCGTAAATCCTAGCAAACAAATCTTTTAAGGGCCAAAGCTGAGGAACCATCAGCTATAATCCTATTAGTTGCAGATTATTGCGAATTATTGCCTGCTGTCGCCTTACCGGGCGTTATGCCAATAATAATAAGAACGACAACGACAATAATTTGCCTTTCGGACCCATAGCCAGGGATGTCTTTGTCATGACTGAAACCCATAAAACCAAAAACAACAAAAATAAATGCTTAAAAATTAAGCAAATAATGTCAGGTGTGTTATGGCCAAAATGGTTATGGCCTGTCATAAACGGTTTTATTGGAAGGCTCGGAAGGTGGCATCTATCGTCGAGAGAGGTTAATGTCCATGACTTGTTCGGCGAGAGAGGGGCGAAAGCCTAAAAGGACCAACATGTGGAATGTGTTGTATTACATCGACGATTAGCTGGGTACTCGACATTGTTCGGAGGTGTTGTTTATTTGTCTTTGGGATAACTTTATTGTAATAAACAGGTTGCGTGATTTTTATTACAGTTGTAGGCTATCAAAATGTTGTTATATAATTATTTATAGGTCTTAGGTCTCACGATGTTGTTTCATAACAAACGAAGTTTTCTTAAAGAAAAAAAATGAATTTGAGTGACACTCGAATTATTTTCTATAGAAAAAATCAAGACCCAGAGTGTCTCGTCAATTTTTTCTATAGAAAAACTTTGACCCATAAGCCTCACGGATTTTTTTTTATAGAAAAAACTTGATCCAGAAGCCTCAAAGGGTCTCACGAATTTTTTTCTATAGAAAAAACTTGATCCAGAAGCCTCAAAGGGTCTCACGAATTTTTTTCTATAGAAAAAACTTGACCCAAAGGGTCTCACGAATTTTTTTCTATAGAAAAAACCTGACCCAAGGGTCTCACGAATTTTTTTCTATAGAAAAATCTTGGTGACGCAAGGGTCTCACGAATTTTTTTCTATAGAAAAAACTTGACGACGCAAGGGTCTCACAATTTTTTTTTCTATAGAAAAAACTTGACCCAAAGGGTCTCACAATTTTTTTCTACAGAAAAAACTAGAGACCTGAGAGTTTCTCAAAAAAATTGTTTTTTTTTTTTGTTACTGCAATTTATTCTTTAATTTAAATTTTCAATATATTTTTTTTTTATTTTACCATCAATACCTGTGTCCGAGAACAGCATTAAAGATGTCAATTAAACAGGTGTTTCTCATTCTGTTTCCAGGGGAATTCCCAGCAGCAATGCAGCGCGCGGTACAAGCTCATCGGCTAATGTCTCGATATCATTATATCTTAGTGTACCTGTCCATGTATTGGTGTACCTTAGCGTTTGTCAGGCACTACATAAAGCTACCGCCGCTGGCAGCTACAGATACTGGTATCGGCTCTGCTGCGATCATGTGATAGAAAATCTAAAGCGGCTGTTTGGTCTGCTGCTATTGACTTTGGTATATAGCCGAAGGCTGGTGGCACTACAGCGAAGGAGAAAAGAGCAGCGTGAACAACAGCAACAAAATATGGTTGCCATTGGTGGAGAGACATGTTGTTGTTATTGCATGCAGTTGCGGGAGACTTCTATACAACCAACAGCCACCACGACGAACTCCAATCTAGGAACAAAATTTAATTTCAGTTATAAAAAATCTAATTTTTTTAAGCAAAGAAGAGAAAGGGTAGCAAATGAAGATGGAGGAGGAGCTCGAGAAGCAAGGAAGGATTCCTGTAGTTCGGTACATTTTCTATTAAATCCTTGTATCATTGCCAATTGTCCTGCTTCGTGTTATGGTTATGGTTATTCTTGCAGTAATTGTTATTGTTGTTATTGCAATTGTTGTTGCTGTTGTCTTCGTTCGCCGGCTAGGGACACTTGCAATGTGACAACGCTGACATGTTACTGCTGTAATATCCCCGACAAATGTCTGAGCCTGCCATCGAAACCCAGCCTATGGGAATCGGATATAAGGTGAGTTAAATCCTGCCACACCACACCACGATGACATTTAAATATTCCTCGCGTAATGCCCTAATTTTTTATACTACAATAAAAATAAAAACCAACATCAACAACTAAATTGTGACTCTAGTATTACTAACTAAAAAAAACAAGAACAATACACATTCACCTACACCCTCTCACACACATACACACATCTACTACTAACCAATCAATCTTAGCTCATATGAAAAGAAAAACTAAAAAAAAAATGATTTAAAATCAAGAAAAAAAGACAACAACAACAAAATAAGGACGAATACAAAAAGGATATCTGCAATGTAAGAAACGAAGAAAATATATATTCTAGTTCTATATACTATAATTAAAGAAGGAAAAAATAGGAATAAGGAACAGAAAAAATAGACAAAAACAAATGAGGAAATGGTAAAATCTCATAAAAAACAAACCCCCTTCCCCCCTTTAGTGTCTCTGTAAAGACCATAAGAAAGAAAAATGAATAAGAACACATACTCATAAACAAAAATCAATGTTATGTTTTATTTGTTGTACAATTCGTATACCTTTTTTATATGGCTTGAAACCAGTTTCAAACAACAACAACAAAAACACTACAATATAATATCTAATAATAAAAAATTCTAACCTATAAATAAAACCTAGAAACTACAACAACAAAATAAATGCTATTTATAAATAAGGTTATATATACATACATGTAATAATGACAACAACAACTACTACTATACTAATTTTTATGTAATAATTATATGATTTTATATATAAATACCCAGAAACAACAGAAATTAACTAATTGACTTTAAGGACTCACACACACACATAAACATATACAGAATCATGCGTACATACACAAACACATACAAATAAACACTACCATTAAACATTGTTTTTATTGTTTTGGATTTTTTTCTGTCACTGCCAGTTTTTAAGCATTTTCCTAGAAATCGTTACGCTTCTATTATAAAGGACAAAGGAAATGTAAAGGTCATATAAAAGACAAAGAATAGATTTTACTTATAAATAGGATGTATTTGAGAAATAAAAAGGAAATTTAATACATAGTTGCTTTTTAAATATAAAAATAAATTTTATTGTGCGAATGGCGCCCAACATTTAATATAAACCTTAAAGCAAAAAATTCATTGGAAAAAATTTGTGAGACCTTCAGGTCCCTATTTTTTCTATGAAACAATAGTGAAAACCTCGTGGTGCATTTTTTCTGAAAAATATTCGAAATACCCTCATATGACTACTTTTTCGTAAAGAAAAAATGCTTAGGTCGATTTTTTTTTATAAAAAGTCGTAAGACCCTTAGGTCGCTGTTTTGTTCTATAGAAGAGAATCTACATAATTTTTCTCTACCGAAAAAAACATGAAGCGTAAGGGTATCAAAAAACCTGTCCCAAAGGCCTCAAGATTTTTTCTATGGAAAAATACCGACCTGAAGGCCTATAAATAATAGCGACACAAGGGTCTCATGGACATTTTCTATAAAAATATCGACCCAAGGGTCTCATGGACATTTTCTATAAAAATATCGACCCAAGTCTCATGATTTTTATAAAGAAAAAAAAAAACGACTTAAGGGTTTAACAGTTTTTTCTATAGAAAAAAAGACCCAAGGGTATTATTAATTTTTTTCAAAATCAAAAAAACAAAAAATAGACCCAAAGGTCTCATGATTCTTTTATAGAATAAACTTGAAGCGGAGGGTCTCGCGAATTTTTTCTATAGAAAGAACGTGACCCAAAGGTCCACCAATTTTTTCTATAGAAATAAACCTGACCCAAAGGTCCCATCCATTTTTTTCTACAAAAAAAAGTAGAGACCCAAGGGTGTCACGAATTTTTTTCTATAGAAAAAAATTAGAGACCCAAGGGTCTCACGAATTTTTTTCTATAGAAAAAAAATTAGAGACCCAAGGGTGTCACGATTTTTTTCTATAGAAAAAAGTAGAGACCCAAGGGTGTAACGAATTTTTTTCTATAGAAAAAAAGTAGAGACCCAAGGGTCTCACGAATTTTTTTCTGTAGAATTTTTTTTCTATGGAAAAAACTTGATCCGGAGGGTCTAGCGAATTTTTTTCTATAGAAAAAAACTTGACCCGGAGGGTCTAGAAAAAAACCTGACCCGGTGGGTCTAGCGAATTTTTTTCTATAGAAAAAAACCTGACCCGGTGGGTCTAGCGAATTTTTTTCTATAGAAAAAAACCTGACCCGGTGGGTCTAGCGAATTTTTTTCTATAGAAAAAAACCTGACCCGGTGGGTCTAGCGAATTTTTTTCTATAGAAAAAACTTGACCCGGTGGGTCAAGCGATTTTTTTTCTATAGAAAAAACTTGACCCGGTGGGTCAAGCGATTTTTTTTCTATAGAAAAAACTTGACCCGGTGGGTCTAGCGAATTTTTTTCTATAGAAAAAACTTGACCCGGTGGGTGTAGCGAATTTTTTTCTATAGAAAAAAACTTGACCCGGAGGGTCTAGCGAATTTTTTTTCTATAGAAAAAAACTTGACCCGGTGGGTCTTGCGCATTTTTTTCTATACAAAAAACTAGATCCGGAAGGTCTTGCGATTTTTTTTCTATAAAAATGACTAGATCTGGAGGGTCTTGCGATGTTTTTCTATTGAAAAAACTAAATCCGGAGGGTCTTGCTTTTTTTCTATAGTAAAAAACTAGACTCGGTGGGTCTTGCGAGTTTTTTCTCTAGAAAAAACATGAAAATTTTTTTCCTACAAAAATAGCGACCCAATGGTCTCAAAATTGTTTTTTCTAAAATAAATAGCATTGCAGGTGTCTCATATTTTTTTTTTTAAATAAATAGCATCCCAAGGGTCTCAAGAATTTTTTCCATAGACAAACATAACGACCTGGGGGTTTCTCGAATTATTTTCTATAGAAGAAATTGCGACCTGATGGATTTGGAATGTATAGACCCAAATGTCTCACGTATTTTTTTTCTTTAGGAAAAAGTACAGACTCAAAAGTCTCATGTATTTTTTTCCCTAAAGAAAAAAGTAGAGACCCAAGGGTTTAACGAAATATTTCCATAGACAAAATAGAGATGTAAGGTCTCCTGAATTTTTTTCTATAAAAAAACTTGGCCTAAGGGTCTTAGGATTTTTTCTATAGAAAAAATAGCGACCCAAGGATTTCACGATTTTTTTCTACCGAAAAAATAGCAACCCAAGGGTCTCATGAAATTTTTTCTTTGGGAGGTGTCACATTTTTTGTAGAAAAATGGACCCGAGAGTATGGTTTTTTATAGATAGAATTTGAGAGTTGAATGTTCTACAAATACATAATAAAACTTGAATCCAAAACATTTCTATAGAAAATATTGGTCCACAATTTTTTCTGTTGAAAAGTTGAAACAGAATTGGAATTTTACAATTTTTATAGAAAAAATTGAGAACTCATTTCCTATGAATTTTTGTTATAGAAAATATTGATATATCTGTCCATGAAGATCCCCATTTTCCAAACTTTTTGCACAACTATTTCCATCGATACCCATATTTCTCATAGGCTCCCATACAAATTTGTTCCCTTCCATCTTCGGTATATTGTACGATTTTGCGACATTCCCACTCTGAAGTAGCTGTTATTTGTCATTCCGGCTTCTTTTCAGGGTGAATAATAACTTCACAGAAAATTTTCGAAGTGGTTTCAGGTCTAGTTATAGCCCTAACACAAAGAAGGACCCGCATCATTTGCGGTATTTAGAAGGAAAGAAGGACTCGCCTCATTTGCGGTATTTTGAAGGGTTTAGCTGCCTCCGATGTGTCTGTCGTTTGACATTCCATTATCTTGGTGGACCAGCCAAGCTTTGTTTCTGTCTTCAGAATTTGTAATTTGCTATTATATTTTCTTAGAACATAAATGACTTATTAGCAAACGATAGTCTCCTTAAAATGGTACAGGCTTTTTTAAGAAATTTAGAATGCACACCACTTTCTGAAGAGTATATGATTTTTGGCGGAACTTATTTTTTCCCCAGTCAATTTTTTGTTTGTTAAATAATTCACAATATGTTCATAATCTACTGTATAATTTTGATTTGTGGATTTACGGCAGTTCCTAAATGTGTCCACTTCCTCCATAGAATTTCCTTCTGTATATACAAAAATAATTTATGACAGCTTCGATATTTGTGTGTACAGTCTGTTTGTGATGATTTATTAAATGATTTACATACCATTACAAACAACAACACCATACCTTTATTACAAAAAAATATCCATTAACTCGACTAATAATGTAATAACAACCACCACCCCCTCCCCCAATCTCCACGAAATTCCTTTACAACAGATTTTTTGGAAGGATGTGGTAAATTATTTTCGAAATTCGTCTATTTTTGGTAAACACTTTGCAAAATGGTAAACGAAACGATGATAAGTTAATACAGTGATTGATTGATTCCGAAATGAATGATAGATGACTAAATGAATGCTACATTTGTGCGGTAGATT